CATACCCTATGTCAACCTCAGCATCTTGCCCCAACAGTATCGTAGGCCGTGGTTGAATGCGACAAGCATAGAAGCGGTAAAAGCCTTCGCCACGCCGATTTCTTCCCATAGCCATGCCTCCTGTTGGAGTGTACGCCCGTACACATTTGTCGGGACACTAAATGCATAATGTCGCAAAAAGAAATAGTAAGAAGAAAAGTGGATATGTAATAAACAAACTATTATTAATCTCTATGGCTCAAGAAATAAGGGGAAGTTCTTTTTAGAAAGTTGACTTACCAAGCCATCCATAATTCGTCGAGCGTCCTGATCTGAGTTCAGCAGCACAGTACCCTCCACAGATGCCATGTCAATCAATACGTTTCTAAAGTAAATGGGTAAAGATAGAGTATGCTCTGAATAGAGTAAGCAAAACTATGAGTCTCTAAGTTATCATAAGTTCAATCACCTGACGACGTTATCAGTGATATCGACCACCCTAAGAATGGTGTCCCACTCTGACGACGGCTCGTTTGCTCTTACATCATGAGGAGGGGTGGTAAATCTAGATTTGTTGCGAAATGAGCTTAAAAAACAATTACAATCGAAATCTACTCACTTCGTAAAGATTGCGTTAGGCAAAGCTCCTCTCAACCCATTCGCCCTCATCAGCCTCTCGAACATCTGATGATCACGCTTAGAATGGAACACAAAAGAAGTCAATAAGCGGCGCGTAGCCTCTTCCACCGCAAATGTCCATTTTCGATCGCGTAATTTCATATAAATGCCTAAAAAGGCTCGCTTAAACTACCATGAAAGACGAGATTCATGCATTCCTGATGCACAACGACTTATTAAAAGTCCACTTTTTTTACAAATTTATTCCTGTATTGGAAGCCAATGCGCGGACGCAACAGAACTAACACCTTACAAGATAACGTAACTGGCAGAAACTCCCCAAAAAACGCAGTTTAGTAAAGTCCCCCAAAAGCACCATTGAGCTATGAAAAGGCAACAGCAAATAAACATTCCAAACCTATTGGACCTCTTGGTAAATGTTCAAACTTGTCACTGTTTGCATTCATT